ATGATGATGATGATGATGATGATGATGATGATGATGATGATGATGATACCTCAAAAGCATCTGATCCCTCAGGATGGCAGCAACATGAACCCCACGGAATTGGTTGGGGAGGGAACATGTTTTCAAACCTCACAGCTGCCCTGCAAAGGCCCAAATCAACATTCGATAGACTGTAGAAATCTGTTCTGAGCTTCGGGTTCCAGGCATTCGGCTGAACGCCCCGAAGGTGTGAAGGACATCGGAGGGTGTACCAATGCCGAATACACATACCTTCTGAGGCATGGATCCGCAGGGAGAAATAGCTTCTGTAGGCTGGGGCCCAGTCGTACCAAACCTGAGGTACGGTGGCAGTGGATCGTTGGATGTGTACAGTATCAACTACCAGGACCCTCCAACTGGCTGTTTAGAGACCCTAACAGGTGGTTTCTGGGCACTAGTTGTCACCAGGAAGCACCTTGGAGAATCACCGCCCAGCTCGGCACCACTTGGCGTCCGTCTCGGGCAGAGAAAAGCAAGAATGTCCCCCTTCACTGCCTGGAACTGCTCGGTGGCATCGGTACAACAGGCCTGATCAGGTCGGCGAGGATTCCTCCAAAGGGCGTCATGCATGGGCTGGAGTCATGCATGGGACCTGAATAGTTTTAGATATAGTTTTATATATATATATACACACCATTTGACACCAGGACCCACAAGGGGTGATTAATGGACTCCCCTTGACCTCTTAGGGGGTTATGAATAGAAGCCCCTTAGACAGTCCTGGACTGATGGTATAATATATATATATATTTATTTATTTACCCCATGAACATGACCCCCATGTGGGTAACTATTCCAGTCCCATGGATGGTCTGGGGAAGGACAGACCGTCGCACCTGGCCTTTGCAAGAAACACTGGCCCTCCAGGATGCTTATTGACAAAGGATGATGCATCGTACCTGCGAAGCAACCACGATTGTCCACTCGGATGATGGATGCCGAAGGCGCGGCGCTGCTGCAGCTTGGTGTATGATGACTTGGATTTGCGTTGCTGAACAACCCCCAGCTGGAACAAAAAAGAACCAGCTGGACATGAAGGGCAGCTGGCAAATTTTGTTGTCACATCGACATGTTGTCACAAGATAGGCAAACAAGTCACAACACTTCATTGTTTTGCCACTGTTGCCATACTACATACTACATAGCCCATGCACTCATATTATGTATAGCCAAGCGCATGAGGCACCAAGGCGAAAACTCTACATGTCTGAAAAAACATGAACGTGGCAACGTGTTCACCCACAAATGCCAGGCTTTGATGGTGAACATGCAGTTGATGGTGACCTGCGCGCATTTCCAAATTTGCCCCAGCGCACTTCTTGCCCTCGATGGTCATAAAGCAGCCCTGCCGAACACGTGGGCGTTCGAAGCCACAATGGCAAAGATCAAGGAAGCCAACACAAAAACATGCATCGAAGTGCTGCCCTCTCCCCTTTGCTTTGTTCATGCGAAGTGACTCCGAGTGCGTGGAACACCGCTCTTCAGCTCTTGGCAGATCCTGTTACGAGGGTCCGAGGTGGCACTGGCGAATAGCATGCAAAGTCTTTGTGCTTTCACCATCTTTTCACCCTCATTCTGAGCCTGAGCTACCATTTAAGATTATCACCCCCCTAGAGAGTCCAGTTCCACTTTGTTTGGCATCCACCAAAGTGGATGCAAAACACTCCGAACTTCGGGCCAGCTAGTCAAACCATTCCTATTAGTGGGTCTTTAAGTCTTTGATTCCCTGGGATGCCTACGAGGAAAAACGTTTCCAAGATGAATCCAGGTCCATGTCATGTCTTCCTCCTCGGAGCTATACCTGATGCTATATGGGTTGGCTTATATGTATGATTCACTTGGCATTGCTCAAGCACATGAAGCCAGCAATGATTTCCAGACTAAGCCACTCAAATGCCCAGGCCTTGGCAGCCTTGCGAGCTGCTGCCTCCTGGCCAGCATCATGACATGCCTATCTAGGCACGTACGACAAGCGCCTCAACGGAGGTCAGCATACGACTCTCTTAAGATGATGCCATTCGACTCCACCAACGACGGCCTGTGGTTTGTTGATTGCATATTCCATGGGTGTCAAGGACAACCTTGAAGTTGAAAAACAGAAACACCTGGACCCCCGTCAGGAGTGGGGATATGCATGGATGGTGCGATCGGAACGGCCAACATCTCCCAATCTCAGTTTGACCATGAAAAAGTAACTGCTGGAGCAAAGATAAGAACAATCCCCTCTTTCAATCTAGGAGAAAAAAGGCCTGCAGCTCGGCTGCGTGACTGAGCGGAGGAATCCCTCCTCAGCTCCTACCCAACCCGAATGAGAGCCCAGCAAGTCCTGTGCCAGCAGCTCCTACAGCGAGTGGCGCAAAATGGGCAGACCATTCCGATTTTGCCTGAGAACCTGACCCCTCAGTTACTGTACGACAGTACGTTGCTGATTGGGTTTATTTCTTTCTCTCCAGCGAGGTTGAGAGCAATGGAATGCACAACAAAACATACCTCAAATTTGACAAAGAAACAGTGGCCAAATAAATCTGGTTTCCATTCCCTGATTAAACCTAAAATCTGCAAAACAATATCCTAAAAAATATATAGTACATGTATTATAAGTGTTTATATATCATTGTTGTGTTTGTTTATTATTGTTAAATACATCTATATTAAATCACCCAAATCACAATCAAAGCGCCATCGTAATCTGCTTAAGGAACCGGGACACATATTCCTCAGAAGGGGGGTGCACCCATAGGGAAAATAGAAAAGCATCCTATGCAAAATCAATCAACATCAGGTTTGTAGTTGGGGTGGATGTGTTGTACATGTGGTGGTTTCTTCATGGGACCACACAGGCGTGTAAATATATGCCTCCGGCAAACCCTCTCTTCCCTGCTGGTTGTCTGCTCAAGTTCCAGTGTCTTGCAGCCGGCCGACATCCTGAAGCCCCGAACCCGGCTTCACCAGCATCTACCAGCACAGTTTTTGAGGCTAAGAACATTCAACCAAATGCGCCAAGTTACCATACAAAAGCTCTGAAAACGGGACAACAGCTGTGTGAACTACCATCGGTTTTCTGGGGACCTTCGCTCAAAACGAGTGAAGATTGAAAGCCAGTGCCTGTGGTGAAAGGGCAGCCACTGGCCACGCCAATAACAGGACAAGGCCTCATCCCAGGCAAAGAACTGACAGGAACAGGCCAATGAAAAGGCAAAAAGATCATTTTGGAACACCTCGACTTGATTCCATTTGGCATGGATATCCGACCGGTTTTTCACACCCAAACCTGAGCCCCGGACAGGGAAGGCACAACCAGTCCAGCTTCGTGCCTTCGCCAAAGGTGGAAAGCCAACAAAAAGAAACCGTTGAGTCTCGAGCTCACGGCTCTTGCATACTCTTAGTGAACTATGTCCTAGAAGTCCAGTTCGACTATATCTTGACTGGCTGGAGTAAAGGAAGTTCCCTGACTCAGGTCCCCTTGTCAGACCATTCTTTTTATAGTCTTGACTCCCAGGGTATGGATGTTTAGGATTCAGACCAGTTCCCATACACTCCATGGGACTGGAATAGGACTGCCGCCCATTGACCCCAAAAACCACCCCAACTGATCGGCATATATGGCAGTCCCACTAGTCGTGTCTGGGGTTTAACAACAATGAACAATTATAAACAATGGTGGGCCAGGAATTGTAGGGTATATTCTGGTGTTCAACCATGAAGCAATTACTTGGGCAGGTTTCGGAAGCGCTCGCTTGAGACTCCCGTGGTAAGGTGTCGACCCGGGTAGCTAATGAATGACTCAGGCTATTGAATGCCTATAGGTTGACACTCTGACTCACTCACATGGAAGACAGTCGCTATGACTATGTGACTCACTAATAACATGGAAGTGGCCCATGGTGCCTGGAAAATTCTACGGCAACATGTCCTCCGCAACTGGAGTTCCGAACTCCAACTTCAGAGTTTCTGAGGGCTCAAGCGAATTCCCCAGGATGGTCAGGGTCTTAAAGAGGCCCAAGTCACTGCGACTCCATGGACATTTCACACAGGACATGAACACTTATTGATTCCCTGAAGTAACTGATGCGTGAACGCTTCCTGATCAGGATTACTATGGATACGTTTAGTGTTTAGTGTTCACGCATCAGTTTTCTTTCGTGCCTGGAATCCAGAAATGGCCAAGCGAGGGCTGCAACACTGCTCTGCCCTGGCCTGACGCTGATGCGGCCAATTCAAACGCCTCAGTCAGTCATACGGCAAGCATGCGGGAAGCATACACAATACACATGAGGCAGGGCCCCAAGCGGGGAAAAGAAGGAAAAAACATGTGAATTCCTTTGCTTAAATTTGCTGTGCCGGAACTGAGATTTGCTGGGCAGGAACTGGGAAAAACAAACATTTTCCCCATTCCAGGGGCTTCACCGACAGGGGATTAAAGACCCTAAGCAAAATTAGGTTTGTATGTTCTGCCCCGTCCCTCAAGTGCGTCATCGACCATGTGTTTCACCAGCCACTGTTAAGACTTGGTAAGAAAGTAGTGGTAGGTCTATTCATGCCTGTTCCACTTGCATGTGACGTGTCGGAGGGAATGTGGCTGTCTTAGGCATGAAGGGGGGAAACATGATCTCCTTGAATAGTCCAAATGGGTCCAAATCATTCACGCCTATCGACCCCAACAGGTGTCTTCTGGCAACCCACTACCTACCAAAGCCACTTGGAAGGTCCTGGCCAATGACTCCATGACTTTTGGGGTGGCAAACTCAAAGTAGAAACCTAATGTAGGCTCTTGATTCATAAAGACTTCCCATGTGGATTGAAAACGCCCTTCATATGGATGTTGTTGACGAATCAAGAGTCCACATGGTTTTGCTTCGTACTGCCAAGCAACTGAGGTCCAGTCCTCCTTCGCTCCAGCCAAGTGGCGGTCAGCCTGCGCCGTTTTGAGGCGCATTTCACAAAAGGCATGAACTCAGAAGCGCTCAGAACTCCCTATGCAAGAAAACCTACACCAGCACCATCCAGTTCAGGTGGATCAAAGACCACCCGCCCGCTGCCATTGGCTTCGACAGCACACCGTTTCACTGGGTGCTGCCGGTAGCTTTGGAGACCTTTCATGAACCCGTCGGCCTGGCATCCCACGCGAGCATTCAATCTCGCGGGGCAAAAGCTCCAAGGCGACCAAGCCTGTGAAGGAAGCACTTCGAAGCTCTGAAGGGAAGTCAAGTTAAGTCTGACCAAGGGTACCTGGTCTCATCTCATGACGCCACAGTAAGTTATATAAATATATGTGTGTATATATATATATATATATGACTCTGCTGCCCTCGCACTTCGTTTTCCAAACAGCAAAGCAGAGAGAGCGCGGAAAGCCCGCGGAGGTCGGCTGGCCTGGTGCGGGGTCGCTTGGCGGTGTGTTCGTGGTCGCAGCGAGCGAGAGCGGAGAGGCGGTAGTGAGTGGTGAATGTAGGGGGCGGGTGGGGCTTGCGGGTGGTGAGGAGGTGGTCGTCCACGTCATAGTCCTGGAGCTCGGTGAAGATGTGCCCGAAGCGCTTTGGGGGCGTGCCCGGATCCGAGCACCTTCCCCGATCCATCGCTTCGAGGCATCCTCCAATGCCTCCAACAAGCGCCGCCGCCCAGGCGCGATTTCCAACATAGATCGACTACCGGTCATTACTTGGGTGACCCTCTCAGCACCTTCTCGGAAATGAAACTTTTAGGCTTCCAGGGTAGGTCTCATCGCCAGCCTCACACTTCCAGGACAGAACCGAAGCACTAGAAGTGGGGCCTGCGGCTCCCTTTTGATTCAACCCAGGAAACGTACCAGCTCCAGACATAGTGTGGATTGATGGATTGATCGCTCTTTCCTGATTCTATGGGTGGTCATGCCTTACCATTGTTCGTTGGCGCCTTGCTTTGTGTACTTACCGTTTTCTCTCAGGTGCAGGGTGATCTTGTTTCACATGCATAATCACGAATACATCGTTGCAATTGTTACTCTTCCACAAGACTGCCGAGTCAGCGCAATTCCTCCGCTCCTTCTCCTTACCTCCCTGCCCTCAGTGCACACATCCTGCGCTCCTGCCAAGCGATCGCAGCTTTCCGTCCCTGCAGGTGAAGAGCCTCCGCTGCCCGAACGCACCCTGCGCTTCGTTGGATACCTTCTCCAGAACAAGGCAACCTGCTGAGGCCTCTGAACACAACCCGCCCTTTTGCCTGCGTGTGTCCAGGCTGGCGCGCCACGGCTATGCTGCGCTCCACGAGGTCGTCGATATCTGTGAGCAGTCGAGGCCCTATAGTGTGACGCTTCCACAAAACAGGCTTCCGGCTTCCGTCTGTGAGGCTTGGGGGTTCATTTTCTCCTCTCGCTTCTGCCCCTGGGTTGTGGACACTTCGTGCCACTGCTTGCCCCCACCCCCCCCTCTCTCCTTTCCAAGGTCCTCAGACCCAAACAAGCTCCTTGCAGCCACGAAGGCCCTTACGACTGCGCCGCGGCGATGCGCAACTGCGAACACGAGAGCATCCACCCAAAGGTTTAGTGCACTGCACGTGCCCTACCTTTAGATCAGCAGGTGTTTGAGCTTCTTCTCCATACGATTTAAATTGTTTTCCACTTTTGTACGTTTTTTGGCATGCACTTGTCCCTTGATGACGCTTCTTCTCCATACGGCCCTGTTTAAATTGTTTTCCACTTTTGTATGTTTTTAGGCATGCACTTGTCCCTTGATGACGCTCTCTTCATCACTGACATCACCTCCGGGAGCCAGGGGCCCCCTGCAAGCCGTACACTTTGCGGATTATTGCATTTGTGCCGGTGTCATGCCCGAAGTGGTTGATACCGAGCATATGCGCGCAACGCGAGCTCTTCCTCACCCTCACCCCCAACACAACTTACGAAACCATCACCACACTTCTCCAACCACACCTACACTACCCCGTCACATGGCGCGACACCGCTCTGCCTGCATGGTGATCCGCCTCATGGAGTCTTACCTCGCCGGCTCCACCCTCAGCAAGGCGCGCACCACTGAGCACCGGCCACCACGCGCAACCTCCCACAGCGCCCTGCGACCTCTGCGCCCATCACACCCCCCCCTGCTGCTTGCCACCGCGCGCTCCGCTATCACGGCTGCGGGTATACCACTCCTGCCTCTACTGCGCAGCACTTGGTCTGACAAACCCTACCAATCTGCGCCGACAGGCCATCCACAATGCTACCACCACGTGCTCCTTGACTGCACCCAGCTCGTCGCCGCGCCGGTCGATACGTCTCCGCTTCCTTGTAATTCCCTGCCGCCGTTCGGTTCTTGCAGGCCTTCAACGCCTCTATATGTTCTGGCCGAAAGCGGTTTGCGGCAGCGGGGCTGGAACCTGAGCTCGGAGAGGAAGTGGAAAGGACATCATGGAGCTGGACTCGTGGGAAGAACAGAAGCCAGCGTCAGTCAATATCTGCAACCAGGTGCGAGGTGGCCTTTGCATCTGCGTCAGCAGTACGGAGAGGAGACCCGGGGGATCTCGAGCGCTCCTCAGTGAGGGCGACGAAAAGCTGGAGAAACGTAGGGCCAGAAGTACGACCACCGAAGTGACAAGTGACTGTAGACCTCAGAAGCTTCTTGCGCATGTCCTAGTTCGTGTGCACCTGCAGACTTCTGTTCAAACGGCTTTGTTACCAAAAACTTGACCCTGCAAGATAGAGTTTCACAGGCTCCCGGTGAGGCTCCTACTGTCCACCCCGTCTGACAACGCATGCCAACACCACGCGGGTCTTTTAGGCTCTGAGTGCAAGGCTGCATGCACGTCTGGAGCTTCTGTAGGTCCTAGGAAGCACAAGAACCAGACGCACCCAAGCCAGTCAACAGTTAAAACTTGTAAGTGGTGTTTTCGTCGAACCAAGTGGATGAGTGGGGGACAAATACTTGCTGTTGTTAAGTGTTTTTTTGGTTGCATTTTGGTTGCCACTGGTCGCCACTGGTCGCCCGGCGCACGCCAGCAGGGAATCTGGCGCAACCCTGGAAACACTGGTATTTATGGTATTCACGGTGTTTTGTGGCCACTTTGAAGCTTACATAGCTTGAAACCATCCCAATATACAGGGTTTTGTGGCAGGAAGGTGCAGAAGCCGTGTAAGTACCGTCGCTTTGTGCCACTTGAGGCCAAGGGGGGGGCGAAAGCTAGCGCTCCAGAATGGGAAAGTGGAGGGCAGCGAGTGGCAGCGAGGTAGGAAAAAACACGGCGCTCTTTTTGGAGGCAGGGGTGAAGAGTCCTTTATATGTGGCTCTTTGCCCGGATCCTCCTGCGAGAGAAGAGAGAGAAGAGAGACGGAAAGACGAGAGACAGAGAGGAGAGAGAGAGAGGAGAGAGAGATGAGAGAGATGAGAGAGATGAGAAAGAGATGAGAGAGACAGTGAGACAGTGAGACAGTGAGACAGTGAGAGAGTGAGAGTGAGAGTGAGCGAGTGCGGCCGCAAGATACGCAACGCTAACCGCATCCCAAAGAGCGACGACAGGACGGAGTCGAACTTGCGAAGAGGGAGGAGGGAGGAGGGAGGGAGGGAAGATGGGAGGAAGACAAGGAGGAGGAGAGGGGGG